CTGTGCTATGCAGGGATAACAGCAATTCTGCCGTCTGTCTCAGCAGAAATGGTTGCCTTTGACGCCAGTTGTCGTCTAAAGAAACGGAATTTCTAACAAATGAGTCAAACAGAAGGTTATGAATGAAGCTGCAACATCTCTGTTGCAATACACGAGTTTTTTGAAATTCACACGGTGTACTGAATGCGGCCGAAGCTAGCAGAGGACCCTCGTGAGCTGCAAAAAAGCCAAGGGGTATGAGGCATGAGTTTCAGATGCAGAGAACACCTCTGTTTGTTTCTAGCTGTATTCGACATACAAGCAGAAAGGCCTGCTGCTGCTAGCGTGGAAGGTAAGCGGCTATCGGTGTGTAGTACGTATGATGCTCTGCCTGCTGGGGGGAAGTTTCAGTAAAATAACGACGATACATTTGCTCCTTGTCGTCTTGTTTCGCTCTCAAAGTTTGCGAAAATTATTTTGAATTTTTATTTGTTGCATTGGAGCCGCTTTATGTATAAGATTTTACAACGAGCAGCAACCTTCCGTACAGCTGCGCTAGTGCTAGTTTAGTGTCAGTAAACACTGCAGGAAAACTAGCAAAGACGAGGGAAAATACAAGTTATTGAGTGGCTGAATTTCTATTTCATCAAATATTTTTAATATATTTTAAAGTGGAAACAATTGGGCTCTATGTGAACATGATGGAGGCTCCCCCCCTGAAATCAGCCTCTTGATTGGGGTTGGTTGTTGCTTGGGCTTGGGGGTTTGGCTTATGCAGCAGCACTGACAGTTGCTGCAGATTTATTTCGTTGATTTTTTGCAAAAATAGTGAAAACTATCTATTGAAAATGTATTTTTTTGTTTTTTATGGTTGAGGGATGAAGGTCTAGGATTCTGCTACTCAACGCTGGCTCCCACCACTTACTCAACAACTACAGCCCCAACAGAAGAACCGCTTACATCTTTAGTGAACAAACGCCCCTTCCTAATTGTTTCGAGTTTATACAATTCTCTGAATAAATAAACTGCTTAGTAGCCCTCTCGGGCTAAACCCTAAACCCTAAACCCTTAACCGCTCTGCAGCTCTTGGCGGAGCAAGACAAAGATATACACACAGAATAAACCCTAGCTTCCCCCCAAATTTCTCGCAGCACTGAGGTGTAAGAAATACTGAAATACTTTTCATATTGCCTTCGTTT